GTGAAGCATGGTTGCGCAAGCATCATGATATGGGGATGTTTCTCATACTACGGTGTTGGGCCTATTTTCATAGCATACCAGGGATCATGGATCAGTTTGAATACATCAGAATACTTGAAGAGGTCATGCTGCCTTATGCTGAAGAGGAAATGCCCTTTAAATTGGTGTTCCAACAAGACAACGATCCCAAACACACCAGTAAACTTGCAACATCTTGGTTCCAGACCAACAAGATTGACGTTATGGAGTGGCCAGCCCAATCCCCGGATCTTAATCCAATAGAAAACTTGTGGGGTGACATCAAAAATGCAGTTTCTGAGGCAAAAACCAAGAAATAGAGAAGAACTGTGGAATGTAGTCCAATCATCCTGGGCTGGAATACCTGTTCACAGGTGCCAGAAGTTGGTTGACTCCATGCAACACAGATGTACAGCAGTTCTCAGAAACAGTGCTTATACAACTAAATATTAAGTGATTCAAAGGAAAGCAAAATCTTCAAACATTTTTCAGTTTATATAGTGAATGTTTGAGTTTGTAAAGAAGAATACAAACACTGCTATTTTTTTCAACAGTCTAATATTCACTTTTCTTCACTTTTTTTTTAGAGGAACAACACAAATTTGATATATTTTTCTTCATGTTTTGATTTGGAATATAATGTGTAGTGTTCCCAATGCATTTGTGTGTATGGAAATAAAAGCTATTAGAAGGATTTTATTCACTTTTTTTCAACACACTGCTATTATTTTGAACATAACTGTATATAGCAAAAAAAATAAAAAATCCCAGTGGTGAATAAATACCACCAAAATAAAGCTTTATCTGTCTCAAAAAAATGCTAAACAATTCATATGGGTACAGTGTTGACCGCGCAATTGTCATTCAAAGTGTGATAGCGCTGAAAGCTCATACTTGGCCTGGGCAGGAAGGGGGTGAAAGTTCCCTGTAGGCAAGTGGTTAAGAAGAAAAAAGAAAGATGGGGAAAACGCACTGGAGCGCATCAAAAACGTGCATGCAGAAACGGATCCGGACTCTGTTTCTGTGCTATGAACTGGCCCTTAGGGACTGCTCTCTTGAATGCCTTTTTTAATACTGTTACCAAGCATTATGAACCATACTTGAATATGAATTGAAAGGAATTGGTCCTACCCATTTACACATTTTTAGGTCTAACATTATAATGTTTTAAAGTAAAATGCCATACTCAGGAACCACTATTCTTTATACAGAAAGGCAGTCAGGAGACTAGTCTCCTTCCCTAGTTTTACAATCATCTGCAAGAATAAACATGAAATTAACAGTCAGGTTATGCAGGATGAAATTTGATTTGAGATCATACTTTTTTTATTTACCAAATATAATCAGTCTTTAAAAACTGTACATGTCTATTGGTGTAGGTCCATTGAAAAATACCTTGAGTGTAATCATTGGAAACCAGTGATATGCTCAATTATAATTTTATATGCCACAATGTAAGTGCTAAAATAATCCTTGCTGTATTTGATAGCCTCCACTGGCAACAATTAACCCTCTACACCACTGCACATAAATTCAAATATCCATTGCAATACCTGCTTAAATAAGTTTTGTATTTCTGAATACAAAAACACATTCTGTTAATTTAATAACTGAAGACTTTCAAGCTGTTACACATGTCTCTATGGGAAAAGAACAAAGGAAGGCGTTTTCCTGTTCCAGCAATAAGAAGATGTGTGCTTCTGCCCCCATTACATAACACAACAGGGGACTGTCCTAGTGCGTATTATCAGCACTGTATTTTATCTTTGCAGTGAGCACCAAAGTTAATGATACATTAAATTTCTGATTGCTGTGTTGACATGATCTAACCTTCAAAAGATCTTTATGACCCATAACACACATTTACTGTTAAAGCGTCAGTCTATCAGCTATCATAAATAAATGTGTCTATAGAGTCACAACTGGGAACAGTTGAAAACTGAGTAAAATGGTGTGAGCCATCTGACTTTTTACCTACTAACTTTCTGAGGTTCTGCTTTTGCAATTACCTGTACCGCATACCCATACAAAATCATTCACAGTATACAAACAGATCCTGCAGTTTCTTATATCTTACATACTGTTTGACTAATGTACATTAGATTTCTTTAAAAAGGCAACGTTGGCCTACAGTATCCCAGGGGATTCTGACATATCGCATGTGGGACTCAACATGTACAGTGCATGACATTTGGTAATCACTTGTGTTTAACCACTTGACCTCTGGAAAGTTTTACCCCCTTCATGACCAGGGCATTTTTTATTCGCTATTCAGCACTGTGCTACTTTAACTGGCAATTGCTCGGTCATTCAACACAGTACTCAAATTACATTTATATATTTTTTTCAAGCAAATAGAGCTTTCTTTTGGTGGCATTTAATCACCATTGGGTTTTTTTATTTTTCATTATATAAATGAAAAATACAGAAAATTAAAAAAAAAAAACTAATTTTTCTCAGTTTATAAAGTTATACATTTTTGCAAACAAGTAATCTTTTTTCATAAATGTAGGCCAAAATGTAACCTGCTACATTTTTTTGGTAAAAATAAACTCAAATCAGTGTATATTATTTAGTCTGTGTGAAAGTTATAAAGTCTACAGACTATAGTAAGTGTGTATGTATATATATATATATATATATATATATATATATATATATATATATATATATATATAATTAATCCTGATGTACCGGCTGTCTCTAATTTCTTGAGGCCTTAGAATGCCAGGAAAGTATAAATACCCCCAAATGACCCCTTTTTGGAAAGTACACAGTCCAAGGTATTCACTAAGAGGCACGGTGAGTTTTTTGAAGTTATAATTTTTTGTCAGAGCTTTTTTGGAAAATAAGGAAATTAAATTAATTTATTTTTTTAACATACTGTTACTGTAATGATCACTGTTATAAGCAATCGTTTTTAACTGTCATGAATGGCTTTCATTCATGACAGCTTGCTTACTATTGTGATGTTGTAATTGGCTACAGCTATCACATGGTACAAGGCCGCTGTATATGGCCTTGCACTATGTGATCAATCACAATAGTAAGTAAGCCGTTATGAATGGCTGCCATTCATAAAAGTTTTGTTTACATGTTATCATGTGATCGCTACGATTGGTCAGCGAGCACTGTGGTCACAGGATCACACCTATGCATGCCCCAGGGGTGTGTGTCAGTGCAGATGAGCAGGATGACATACAGGTACATCACTGTGCCTGCTCATGTTCCCGGCCAGCAGTAAATATACTAGTGCTGGTCAGCAAATGGTTAAAATTAATAATTTGATGACATGCCCTAATGTCTCAATTCATTAATGGAATCCCAGCCCTCACCTCACTATCTTTACTGGATGTGTTAAGAACCCCGCAAACTGATCTCTTCTCTGTATGACCTTCTCCTCACCCCAATTGTCTCTGATCTGGCCTACTCTCTCTAATCCCGATGGGTAACAGACATTGGAGCTATTGATGAGGAATGGGAGGAAGTCCTAGACAACTGCAAAAAGGTTTCACCTAAGATACCTGACCATCTTACCCAACTCTACATTGTGCATAGGGCATATCTCACCATATCTTGACTTACACAATTTAGAACTGATAGGGATTCTTATTGTCCTAAATGCCATGCATTCCCGGGCACGTTTGCTCATTTGATATGGTAATGCCCACGGATAAATGGATTTTGGACCCAGGTAATCCAGTTTTTACATGACCGCATGGGTTCCCCTTTAACCCTATTCAGAAGCTGATAGGTACTTGACTACACTTTTACATGAAACTTTGTTTAGTGCTAGGAAATTGGTAGCCGCCATTGGATGCAGGCGCTCCCTCCTACATTTGAGGAGTGGATGGCAGACTTTAACAACGCTCTACATTTGAAAATGTTATATGTTAATTTAGGCTGTCCCAGCAAATATAATAAAATATGGGATTGTTGGTTGCAATCTGCAGATACCTGCACCTAGATGGGATAGGTTTGGCATCTAGACTGTACATTTATTTTTTTATCTGTTTATTTCTTGTATATAGATGCATGTGTTACTCACACATAGTACCTTTCCTGAGGTAGACATGTTCTCTCCATAAAGGGATATGCTGACTGGCTACTTTTCCCCTGCAACAGGCAGAAATATATTCTGTACAGGTTTCTATTTCTATGTCATGTTTGCTATTCTACTTATATTGTCATCGTGTTGATCTTTTCTTAGTTTGGTTGTTTGTAACCATTCCTGTCTAACCTTCATACAACCCATTGTTTTGTACTGTAAACTTATGCTTTATTTTTCATTCAATAAAAGATTTTGCCTTCCTGGTGAAAAAATTTGTTTTTACCAAATACACAGAATTGTTTAAATTTTTCTCATCTTTGGTTCTGAGTATTTTGAGGGTAATGGGCCAATCATAAAATTATATGTTATGCGTTACTAGTGAAAGTGATGGAATCCAGTTTAAAAAGCTTAACGAAACAGTACGTTTATTTAATATTGTTTGTGGCCGTTCATTTTCTATTGTGGAGTCAGAAAAAGAAGTAAGAGGAAATGTCTACTAAGTAAGGGAAATTCCCTCATGGACAGTCGTCCTCACTAAAAGATTTTGCTATTGCTGTTCTGGAGACAACTGTAAAATTGTGGATTTCCATACATTTTCTCTTTCAGTGATGATGGTCATCAGGACAAAGAGAGGGGTAAACCTTCACAGCAGGGACACAGCAATAAAAACATGACAGGGATTCCCCAGTCTACCCCGGATTCCTCTACTCTACCTTCCCCACTCTACCCTACCCAAGTAAATAAAACATTTTGCTGTACACTTTAAGTGACTTATGTTGCAAAGATTTTTTTTTTTTACATCACTAAATTGAAAACAGTTAAGTTATCTCTACTTTGCAGTCTACATTTACTATTAGCTAAGATATCCATGCTAGATCTATTGTGCTTTAAAAACAGTCTTCTTGTTCTAAAGTACCTTTTGTGTTTCCAGGAAATACCTCAGCTATTGCCTCCAGAGCACTGAGTGTCCAGAACATTACGTACAACGAGTCACCTTCAACAAATAACAAAGACAAGCTGGAACACACGGAGCTAGAAAATGAAATTTTCAAGGTGGACCAGATGATCACTGACATGGAGCTAAAAGTCAACGTCCTAAGATGGACTGTAGAAGCAACAGCAAATATGAATGATGAGGTTGACAGCAATGATGCCTCATCCACAGCTTTGCTCTCAGTGGATGAAAAAGAAACTGGCAAATGCTGTAATGGCTGCAGTTTACTGTGTCTTTGATTTTGTATGGTACAGCACCAGTAGCTGTCACATTTTCTTCTGTGCTGTAAATGTGATATAATATTCCTAGTTAGTGTTGCTTTGTTTTGATTTACTACTCTTTTTATGATTACAATCACATAATGGATTCATTTACATTTATGTGTATGAATTGTAATGAACTGAATATATATTTAAAAATGTTAGACAGTGACTACATTACAGGTGTCTAGATAGCAATACAGGAGTCCAGCTACAATAAAGAAAAATAAATTAAGAAAAATAAAAAGTTCTTATCCCATGGCAACAAAGTTAGTCCATATGTTATTGTATAGAGAAGCAATCGAGTATATAAAAATTTGTTCAAAAATTATTGTAATTGTGCAAGTGTAAAGTCTAAGTTCACCTTCAAGAATACTTTCCAAAAATCCCCCTATGCAATACGATGTCCTCAGAATAGTACATGCCAGTTCCAGTTGTTGTAAATGGCGCACATGCTCCCATTACAGATGCAGCTGTTTGGGGGGGCTCTCCACAAAATCTGCAGGCCCCTCATCTCCCTCCATCTTTCTGTTTGCAGTACAGGCTGAACATTACAGTAATACACCCCCTAGTAGCCATTCTTGTCAGTTTAAATTTTGTACATGTTCAATGCACTCTTTCCACTCCAGGCAGTTCAAACCTCGCAAGTGCTCAGTGCCTGGGCTCCTTCTCTGAACCAGCCACTAGGGGCATTAGTGTAAAGCTCAGCCAGTCCTGCAAACAGCAGGACAGAGGGGAGGGCCAGAATTTTTTGTGGATAGACCCGCCCTTTTGAAAGCTGCATTTGTAATGGAAGGACATGCACCATTTACAACAGGAGGATAGTTGGTGTGTACTATAGTATATGGAATTGCATAGGAGGATATTTGGAAAATTTTTCTGTTCAGCTTGTCCTGCAAATGGCAGGACAGAGGGAAGGGACCAGCATTTATTTTGTTAAGAGATCCCCCTAAAATCTGCATTTCTAATGGGAAGACATGCACCATTTACAGCAGAAGAGGAGGGACAAGATATAGAATTGCATAGGTGGATATTTGGAATATCTTTCTGTTCAGCTTGTCCTGCAAATGGCAGGACAGAGGGAAGGGACCAGCATTTTTTTATGAAGAGACCCCCCTAAAAGCTGCATTTGTAATGGGAAGACATGCACCATTTACAACAGAAGAGGAGGGACAAGATATAGAATTGCATAGGTGGCTATTTGGAAAATCTTCCTGAAGGTGAACTTACGCTGACCAAAGATGGATCGAATCCTGGCTGGTTCAGCGGTGACTGGCTGAATTTCAATCCATATATGGTAATCCCTGCTTGACAGAAGTCGAACATTAGATTGACTTCTATTGAACAAAACTGTTGGAAAACTGTAGATTAGTGGCTGCAGCCACCGATCAGTGTATTACGACAGCTATCAGAATACTATATCCCACCAGGGAGGATTCCTCTATCTGCCTCGATTGTGTGGATGGAGGAATCTGTCTGTTTTCTATCAGCTGATTAAAAAAAAAAAAAGTCATCTGTGGCCACCTCTACATTTTAACCATGTATAGTTGCCCTATTTTAAAAGTGTTACTAAATCCACAACAGCAAATCAATCTGTATATGCAGTAAAGCATGCTTGTTATTCTCACTGTGGAACTTAAGGAGTTAATTCGCTGCATTGTGTAAAAAAGGATGTTTGATCCTGACTTCTCTGATCTTCCCCTTCTTCCACTGTCCCTGACTCATCTCCTGATAGCACAGAGCCTTGGGGGCAAGCTGCACATGCTCTGTTTGGTGTGTATTGCTAGAGATTTTTTTTTGTTCCTTGGGAGAATGCATGTGATGAGCACAGGGTCAATCAGCACTATTCAGACAGAGGGTCAGGGGTCCTGCAGTCTCATAGGACAGTGAGAGGAGAATGAAAACTCCTCCTACAAGCTTTAGTGCTTGACTGGACACTGATAAAAGTCACAAGACTGCTATATACTGCTGATTATAAAAAGGTATTTAGCAGTTTACACTTACTAAAATAATTGCACTTCCATGTTATGTGTACTGTGGGAGACCAGATATAGTGAATGCAGGGCCCTGGGTTTAGTAACACTTCAACTACTTAGTCTTGCTCATCACATTATGTCACAGTTTCTTTTTCATACAGTTTGGTAAATGGTATGAGCTATTTGCTCATCAGCATGGGTACCCACTCCTATTAACCAGGAAGTCTTCTTTTAGTTTTTTTCCACTTTCTAGATCAATCCTCTTTCAAGTTTTCAAATACATTTATTTTTAAGGAGAATTACACTGGGAGAAGTGTTATATAAATGGAGAGAGCACGCTAACTACAGCAACATAGAAATCTAAGCCAAACTCTACTCTATAATTAAAATTTAGTTTAGTCATATGAAATTATAATGACATTGAAATGAGCCTGCCATCCATTCTCAAGAAGCGCAGTCATTATCAACCCCATTCTATAGGTCAAGTGTTTAAAAATGCATACTTACACTTTGTTTCTTAATTAGCAGTATGTAGCCCTATACACAAGATAAGACTGTATCAAGAATGAGCAGGAAGTTCTCATATATAGTGATTTTCCAAATATGAGACTAAATAAAACTAGCTATAATCATCCCAGATGTGTTAACATGGAATATGGTGGCATGTACGTTTAGGAATAACTAAACCCAAGAAGAAAAATGTAATATATTGCGGATTATCAGTCTTTAGATGTTGTGGCTGCATTCATTTTCATTGTTGCAGGCTCAGGACGTTTTCAGCAAGTCGCAACCAAAGGATTCCCCAGCAACACTTACCAGCCAGCATGCAAAACAACGAATTTGGCCCTCTCTAACAGTTTGCGTTAAAAAAAGAAGCTTTTGTTTGCACATATTTGCTAATACAGCCTCTATAGTAGGAGCATGTGTATCAATGGATAGGTTAGGGGCGGGCGTGCATGGAGGAGCCCATCCCTCCTTAGGTTCACACCTATGCAGGTTGTGTTTGAGACGTTTCTGCATTGTGTTTTGCATCTGCATTTTTGACACATGTTGCGGCTTTTTTCATGTTGCTAGGAAGATTTAAAACGCAAAACGTATCAAAAACGTGGCAAAAACGCACTACATGCTTTTCTGCAGTGTTTCCATTGAAGTCTATAGAACCAAAAATGCAACTTTTTGCATTGAAAAATGTCCCTGTCCCTCTCCAAAAAACACACCAGGTGAAAATGTGCAGATGTGAGCATGTCCCTTAGGAAATCATGTTAAATGGATTGTACTGAGTTTCTGCAAAATGCTTCAGAAAATGCTTAGGTGTAAACCTAGGGTACAGGTACAGGGATGAACGTGATTCCCAGCTATACCAAAATGACAGCAAAAGCATCCAGTGCATCCCTGCATCCAAATTAGCCAAATACACAAAAAAATGGCAACCATCCCAATCGATAACCAACCTTAGCAGTAAGGTGCACATGAAAGGGCAATGCACATGGCAAACAAAGGATTTCCCAGCAACACTTACCAGCCAGCCTGCGAAACAACCAATTTGGCCCTAACAATTTGTGTTAAAAACAGGGGGTTTTGTTTGCACACATTTGCAAATACATGCGTAAGCCACAGTCCCACGCAAGGGTCCTCTGTATACTGTGGACCTAACTAAAATTTCCAAAGCCTCCATAGTAGGAGCACATGCATCAATGGATAGGTTAAGGGCGGGTTTGGCTGGAGGAGCCCATCCCTCGATTGGTTAAGGGCGGGTTTGCTGGAGGAATCCCTCCTTAAAGGTACAGGGACGCACGTGACGCCCAGCTATACCAAAATGACAGCAAAGGCATCCAGTGCGTCCATATTAGCCAACTACACAGAAAAAAAAAAAAGGCAACCGTCCCAACCTATAACCAGTCTTAACAGTAAGGTGCACATGGAAGGGCAATGCACATCACAAACAAACAAAGGATTTCTCAGCAACACTTACCAGCCAGCCTGCAAAACAAACAATTTGGCCCTGTTTACCAGTTTGCTTTAAAAACAGAAGGTTCTATTTGCACACATTTGCAAATACATGCGTAAGCCACAGTCTCACGTCAAGGGTCCCCTGTATACTGTGGACCTAACTAAAATTTCCAAAGCATCCATAGTAGGAGCACATGTATCAATGGATAGGTTAAGGGCAGGTGTGCATGGAGGAGCCCATCCCTCCTTAAAGGTACAGGGACACATGTGACACCCAGCTATACCAAAATGACAGCAAAGGCATCCAGTGCATCCTTGCATCCAAATTAGCCAACTACACAAACAATGGCAACCATCCAAACCTATAACCAGCCTTAGCAGTAAGGTACACATGCAAGGGCAATGCAAAAACAAACAAAGGATTTCCCAGCAACACTTACCAGCCAGCCTGCAAAACAACCAATTTGGTCCTGTCTAACAGTTTGTGATAAAAACAGAGGGTTTTGTTTGCACACATTTGCAAATACTTGCGTAAGCCACAGTCCCACATCAAGGGTCAGTCCTAAGTTTTCAGCAATTACAGAAAGTGTCTGTTGTGTCCTGTTAGAGGAACTGGAAATATTACTATCCTTCTTCTATTCCCATCCAACATATAATGGTGATAAACAATGTGTGAAGTCAGTTATTACTGACCACCAAGGCCAAACCTTACCCATCTTATACACAGCAAATACATAATGGAGTAGATTTTCTAAAACTAGTGCACTCAGAATCTGGTACAGCTGTGCATGGTAGCCATTAATCTTCTAACTTCAGCTCGTTCAATTAAGTTTGGCAATAAAACCTGGAAGCTGATTGGTTTCTATGCAGAGTTGCACCGTATTTTTTAATTAATTTTTTAAATGGAATAAAGCTATTTACGATTTTACACTA